TTGGCCGTTTTCGCTCCGTATGTGCGCCATATGCATTGCGCTTTCTTGGGTACCAATTCCTAAATCTGTGGTTCCACGGGTTACTAGCCGAACCAATAACATCCCTTGCCAATTGCATTTTACTGCCTTTTCTGGTAACGACAGCATGCAACAGGTCACACTTATGATAAACTTTTTACAAAGTAAAAAGCCAGATTAGTGAGAAAAATTGCAACATGATTTTAAAAAAAGAAAATGTACTTTTTTCAGTGCTTCATCAACTTTTTTTTGCAAATCGCTTTGCGACATTTTGTCCAATTCCAAGTCCAACTGCACTTTCTCGCGAAGCTTATCGATCACCGCTTTCTGTAAAACACATTGCTAAAGGCCCTGAAAATGACAGAAAAAGGAAAAATGAGTGAACACTGGACCGAATTAAGTTATGGTACCTGTCTCGCGATAACCTCTGCACTTGGGAGTTCACCTTCACCACTTTCGTACGCATATTTCTCCAAATCTTCCAGCTGTTCTTTGAGGCGTGCAATCAGTGCCCTTTGGCGTTCCCTCTGCCCACCACCAACTGCGCCGTCTTTTTCGCTACCATCCGCACTCGGCCGCCTCGGCTCATCCACTCGCAAATCCGTGCAGCCACGAAATGCAAAATCCTCCAATTCTTTAAGCAGTTTCTGCAAAAATGCTCAAAATATCCATTAATTTACGTGCTTACGTCCTTGCCCACTTCTAGGATGCAAGGAAAAAAGGAACACAAGCACATAAAAATGCATGTTACAGAGTGAAACCCATCCCCGTAAATCATTCTTTAAGGAAAGCAGAAACATTAGGAAGCAGCCTATATGAGAGCAAACGGGAACAACAATTATCACCTTCAACTGAAGGAAAACAATTGTTCTACAATTTGCTCAATTGTTCCGATGATAAGCCGGCTGCAGCAACCAGACTGAACGTGGAAGTCAAAATGGCGAAGGCGCGATAGATTACAGCATGAAAGAACAGTATGAGAAAGGAAGGTAAGAGTGAGATAAGACGTCCCGGTCCATTAATTGATATACGCCTTAACTCGACACCGCGCGATAGGATCTTGTAAGTACGACAGTTCACAACGGCTGGCAACGGCACATGCCTAGTAGTCGACCGCACCATCAGTTTGCTTGATAGCAACCTTAAGAACAAGAACCCACTGACAGCGGTGCCGGCGGGTGGTTGTTGTTGTTGATAGTATGCTAACACATGGGCTATATTCGAGTACCTCCTCATTCTGCGGAGAGAGTAAATGATTTCGACTTTTCTAAAAAAGCAAACATCTACTTACATCTCTCTCGGACGCGTCCGCTTTACCGATTTGCTTTAGTCGGAACTGAACTTGCGCGAAATGTGTAGATAATGAAAGCAGTGAGTTATTCAGTCGTTCCTGCTCTTCTTCAAGCTCTCGGAAGCGCTCCCTCTCACCACTAGAAATGTCACAATGAGCTCACAAAAACATCGGGAATGAAAGAAACATGTTTCGGTCTGTTAAATCCAGCAAGTCTTATGTCCTTGTGAACATGAAGTGATGCAGAAGAAATCCAAAACCCTCATAATGCAAGCAGACTCCTTTGGACTTTGGGTAAGAAGTTTCTGAACTACATATTTCATAACGGCACATATGGTACTGAGGTTTTACCAGTTCATGGTCGGGCCGCCATGGCCCCTTCTTCCCTTTCTATTGCTAATACATCCAGAGAAAAGTTAGGCCAAAACATGACTGCTCCCAGTAACACGTCGAGTACACATTATCATAAACTTATGCATTTGCACTATATCTAGACACGGGAGGCGTTGGAGGATCCAGTGGAGGGGGGACCAGTGCTGCAAAGGCCCGAGCCTGTTTCTGGATTCATTTAATATTCCCAAGCCAATTTCAACGGTTTTCCGCTAATTCTGTGCTCTCTTCGAAATGTCGCAACAAGAATTTAACTCAATTTTGCACCCCTTTCATACCCTCTTCCTCCCGCCC